AGTTCTGGAGGGACTCTATTATAGTGAAATTGGAGCAAATAAATACTGGAGGTGGAAATGAGAGCTGTAAGGTATGAGAAGAGATGCTGGAGAGAGAGGAGACATGGGAAAAGAAGCTTTTCCTGCAATTAGGAAACCACCGTGCCAGAAAACTTGGAGTGAAGAAAAAAAGCACCCCCTGAGTGAGGTGCCTGACATGAAACTGGGTCAGTGTGTTTGTGGACAAGAGGTGTGATGCTTCCATCAGGCTGTGTGTTTTCCTCTCCTGATAACGCAGGCAGCTTCGATCCCCGACTACAGGGGCCCCAATGGCATATGGACGTTGCTGCAGAAGGGCAGGAGCATCAGGTGAGGAGACGTGTTCTGAGCTGTGCAGCCAAAAGCTGATGCTGAAGGAGACGTTAATGGCACTTGCAAGTTGTTTTTTTTCTTGCTTCCTGTCAGGGCTACAGATCTGAGCGAGGCAGAGCCCACGCTCACCCACATGAGCATCGCCTGCCTGCACAAGCACAACCTGGTAAGGTATTTTTTTCCTGCATCTCACCTGTGTTCCTCTGTCTGCTAAATAAAACCCAACAGGGGTAAAAAGCTGTTTATGAGGTTGCCTAGCTGCAGTTTCACTCGGGTGGCTGCAGGTCAAGGGAGGAGGTGGCCTCCAAGAGCTCGCCCAGCCGAGTCCCCGCTAGCCCAGCTCCAGGCTGCAGCCCGGGCAGGGCTTCCCTGCTGCCTTTTACACCTTGTATCTGCCTCCTGGAGAGGCTGCTCTGGGGACCTGGCTACAAAGTCAGCCAGACCTGCATGGCTCTGTTTATCAGGAGGAGGCTTTTCACGTAGCTTCCACAAAGGTCTGTTCTCCAAGCTCTTCTCCTGCTGGTTCTGCTCTGATGAGGGGGCTGTCTGGTGTGTGCTGAGGTGGACACGCTGCCTGCGTTTGGGTGGTGCTTGCAGAGAGTTCTGTGCCTGTGCTGGCTCAGCCTTGTGCTCTCTCCAAGGTGCAGCACGTGGTCTCTCAGAACTGTGACGGGCTGCACCTGCGGAGCGGGTTACCCCGAGCAGCAATCTCTGAACTCCACGGAAACATGTACATAGAGGTGAGTGCCCAGAACAGGACAACCTGTCTGTCTGGTGGCCTCGCCAGAAGAGACCTACCTGTCGCTAGCTCAGGAGCAGCTAGTACAGGGGCTAGCCTCTGCTTAGTTCCCATCTTCAGGCCGTCGGGTTTGGGGTGAACTAGCTAGCAAGCACCAAAATAAAGCGTTCCATACAACTTGGTAGCTTTTTCTCTGGGCTTGCTAGAGCCTCCTGCTAACCACTCTTCCTCAGCTCTCCTTGAAGCCCCTCCTACCCCACGGCCAACAGGCTCCTGTAATTCCACCCGCTAGTTAACGTTTCCCAGACTTTTCCACGTTAGCATCTGCTCCCTGATGATTGCTTTTCCTGCTTCCTGTTGATGGTGGCAGTTTAAGCAGCCGGCTCCAGCCTTCCACAGGCGAGGCTGAGGACGTGCCGGGTGTTTCGTCCCCAGGTCTGCACTTCCTGTACACCCAACAGAGAGTACGTGCGAGTGTTCGACGTGACGGAGCGCACGGCCCTGCACAGGCACCACACGGGCAGGACGTGCCACAAGTGCGGGGCACAGTTGAGAGACACAATCGTCCACTTTGGGGAGAAGGGGACGTTGAGACAGCCCCTGAACTGGGAAGCAGCAACAGAAGCTGCGAGCAAAGCAGATGTGATTCTTTGTCTGGGTTCCAGCTTAAAGGTAACTTTAGAGACTCGGTGAAGACTGTTAGCAGCATTCCCTCTTGGTGATACACCTTGGTGCTGAGCAGTCTCCTCCCAAACAGACCACTGTAAACTCTGGTGTCAGGATTCGCCCACCATCTGTGATAGTCTCTCTTCCTCCCTCTTTCCCCTCCTGGTAATACATTCCTTTTCCTCTCGCCGATGCGGTTCGCAGGTACGCCTGCCTTTGGCCGTGCCGATAACCCCTCCCCTCCCGTTGCGGCAGGTTCTGAAGAAGTAC